CAAACATTTTCCTGGAGCTATGCTGAGAACCGGTTGCTCCTGCCTCAGGAGAAGTGATGTGCCAGTGCCCTGCCTTGGCCACCACAGCTCTCTTACCTCTGTCTCCACAGGGGGACACCACACAGCTATTCCTGTTCCCTTTTAGCCATTTGCACCATAAGCTGTGCTAATTGGGTGTCACATAATATATGATTGGGCCTTTTAGCACTTTCAAGGACTTCTCAGTGTACAGAATATTAAGATCAGTTGTGATGGGTCATATCCCTTACGTGGGTTATTAGACATTGCCTACAGACTCAGGCAGAGAGCTTCGCAGAAGTCCAGTCCACTATTAATGAAAGCTATAGTGAATATATGTATAGACTCAATTGTAATTATTAGACACCTGTTCAAAGACTAAAATAAAAGGCTATATAAGAAAAATACTTATTTTTCTAGGTAATTTCTATAGTCACCAATTCTATTTAATACAATAACTGGAATTTCTGCAATAAACCATGCTGCTGGTCAAAACACAATATGCTTTTGCTATTTAGGTCAGCTTTATCACTTTTGCAAACTAGTAAGTTAAGCCATCTATAAAACAACAGGCTCAACAATCTAAGATACAGCCCAGCGTGCCACCCTGCTTAACAGCCATTATTATCCCTGCTGACAGGCTGAGCTTTAACTAGGTTAGTGTGAGCTTAGAGCAGAAATTACAAACTGCGAAACCTAGCTGAAGGATTATATAGAGAATGTTTTACAAATTTGCACACAATCAGAGATATTACTTGTTAGTGTAAAGGAGGACCTACTATTTTGTGGTGGTAAAGAGCATTTACATATCCTGGCAATTTGCTTAGGAGGTCCTGGTGTTCAACACCTCTTGAAGATAGTCCAAAGTTATTGCTAAGACAACTATTCTCCAATAAATGATGTATTTTACTTTTATTTCCTCAACTGAGCTGAAAGTATGTATGGTGAAAACACCCTTAAGTATTACAACAAGATGTACTACAGGGACACCGGCAGCATTCAGTGGTTCTCTTAGAAGTGTATTTCTGCATATTTATTTAGTAGCCATGAAAAGGTACTTTGGGAAAAAAAACCCACCAGAAAACAGAGTGAAAATAAGTTTACACATGATTAGCATTAAAAAAAATGGCTATTGTCTCCAACCACCTTCCCCCATGGAGCACAAGACTCTACATCATCCCTTGTCCTGGTGGAACTGGGGGGAAGGCTTGCTGAGCGAAACACTGAGCCAAGGAAAGATGCTTGGCTCCATCACATAGCTTTACATTCAGATCCAACAGTGGCACATCACTGTGTGCAACGGAAAGAACTAGACTACATCAAACTGCAGAGATGAGGAATATTCCAGTGGGGCAGGAAAGAAACTGAGTGCTGTGCTGCCACGCTGGTGTATGAGGTATGAATCCCAATTTGCTGTGCCCCTGCATCTCACAGGGGCATTATTCATACCCAGGAATAAGCCCATCTTCCTTGCAGGAGCCCACTCCAGAACTGTGGCCTGCATCCCTCCCCACAGCATTCTCACTTCCCCTCATGCTTTGCTAGCCCTTCTTTCCTGCAACAGCAGCAGTACTTTGTGTGTCTCTCACTGGCTATTTTGGTAAACTAAACATGGCCAGAAGCCATCCTCCTTAGCCACGACTGGGAAATTCAGGGTGGGCCGGTAACTGGAAACTGACACATTTATGCCAAGAATATTTCTGGCAGTTTATAGATAAATTGTTGTAGCAGGCAGAACTGTTGGGGGAATGTCCAAATTTACTGGTATAAATGGTATACCTGGTTACTGATTTTTATGAAACTTAGTATCTTGAGACCTCAACCCCTTTGTCACATTTATGTGGTTACCAATGGGTGCAAGAGCTACAAGGAAGGACAGACCGACAGCATCACCACACAAATCTTGCTTCTTAAGGGTTCAATCTTTTTCAGGACTGAGCTTTAGAAGAGCACACCAAAAGACACAGATGAAGTGAAAGGGAATTTCCCCCATGATGTCTATAGGGTTATGACTTCTCTGTGTCACATCTGTGCCACTGTTCCAGTGGAAGCCAGAACAGGTCAATAGTGTGTGCAGTTAATAAAAGCTAGCTGTGCATTGACCTGTGAGAGATTTGCCTGATGACCTTTGTCCAGTTCCTCATAGGAATCATCCAGGGAGAGATATCAACACTGCAAAAATCGCACGCCAAGGCTAGTGCTAATTAATAACCTTATTATCCATCCCCAGAGAGGTCGTAGACTAATGAGCTAATCTGAATCACAGACATATTGGCAACAAACAGCACAGAAAGCTCTTACCTATATTGCACTGTTGTCAGAGTCTATAAATTTGGGTACATTTTGTAAATACTTTTAATTTATACTAAATTAAACTTAAAATTAATTCAATTTAACATATTAACTGTTATACATATTAAATTTAAACTACATATTAATTTTAAAGTGTTAAAATATCTTGCTTATTATTTGCTATAAAGGGAGATAAAAAAGGTAGAGCCAATTCTTTGGAACTCCTGAAGTCAGGAAACTGGGTAAAGCAGGGAGACTAACACCGCACGACAAAAATAGCCTTGTTTACTGCAACTTGTGATTTAGTTAGCAGGGGAAACACCAGCTGAGGCAAGAAAGTGTGGATAGCAGAAGAAAAACTGAGAAGGAGGATTAGAGGTAAAACATATTTCTCCTCCTTGTATTTCCTTCAACTGCTGATCACGTTTACTCAGTAGTCCTGCAGCAAAGTGTGATCCTGGAGTAAACACCAACTTCAGAGAAGCTGAGTCTTCCCCTCCCATCTGAATTTGTTCTGTGGGAAACCAAACTGATATAACTGCATCATTTTGCTCATCCTCAAAGACAAAACACTATAACCCATGGAGTATCCTTATACCATGGTGTGAGGCATTCTGAAAAGCCATGAGACTGACAGTCACATGGGCCAGGGACCCTGGGAGCAGCTGTGGTGCTGGGCTCCTCCATGCAGGATCGGACCTTTCAGCCCTGCCAGTTTTATGCTTACATCCATACTGCAAATTACATAGTCAAGAATAAATTCAGATTTCTGCTATGTATGTCCTGTACACTGCAGCGTGGCTAAGGACTTTACTAATATAGTGCAAACACCACCCTTTTTGAAGGGGTGCTAATGCTGAAGAGGTGGATTATGATTCATATAAATAGGGAATTACAAGTTGGATTTCCAAAACTTTAGCGCTAATCTAACTCTGTTTCCACTGAAGACAATGTTGAACCTTCCATGGATTTCAAGATAGGCAAGCACAGATTGCCTTTGAAAATATCCCTTTAATTTCATTTAAATGGAAATCAGCAGCCATAGTAGTATTTGTATTTCTGTAGAGGTAAATGTCACTTCTTCTTCAACAATGGCAACTATGAACAAAAAACCGCAATACGAAATCACCAAAAAAAAAATCAGTCACAGGAAAATGAATGACTTTGTAAACTGACCTCAAAAATCACAGTGGAGGGCCACATCTCATACACAAACACATTGGCAGTCACTGTGCAAGTTAGGACCAACAATTCAACAATTATTTCTTGAATACCAGGGAAACAAAAGAATTCGACAAAGTAAGGGAATAGGCAAAAGTACGCAGAGAAGATGTACAGGCAGCTCAAAGAACAAATTTTAACTGCTCCAACTTGATCAACAAAGGAAACTATTTTTAGAAAGGAATTAAAGGAAATATAAAATTCACAGATTTTCCACAGAAAAAACCCCATAGTTAACAGACTTCCTCAAGTTATATACAACTGTTGTATATGCTACAAATAAATTCTCAGAATTTAGTTACCACCCATCAAAGCTAATTTTTCCCCCAGTTTACTATTAAATGTTTAGAAGAAAAGAGTTAGAAATAAAACTGCCTTGAGATTGTCATCACAGCTAATAAATATTATATCCTGACAATACAGGCAAAAAAAAGTGCATCATGTGGGTAAAGTGAAATATCAAAGACACAGGTAAATCAATCAAAAAGTACTGTGCTCACCATCAGCAACTTATGTTCTCAAAGAAGTCAGTTGCTCATTTTTTAATTTTCGCAACAGTAAAACAACTTGATTATGTGGAGGACTTACCTACAGCTTCCCAGTACAGATTGAATGGGAATAATACTCAAAGGAAGGCTTGTTTTGACAACAGGACCGTCAGAGAAACACTGAAAATGCCTCTGAAATGTTGCAATTATTTGCTTAGTGAATTAGGGAGCAGTTTGCCTTTTTTTCCCTGAACGTGTCAAAACTGAAACGTTTCCTACGTTCAGCTGCACTCTGGGTGTATTTTTTCTCTCAAATCTGATGTACCAAAATTCTGGGACAAATAATTAGAAATAACTTGAAGGTAACATACAGTAATATATATGCTAATAATTCAAGTTAAGCTATGTATTTTGTTGGTACTAAATCATCAAACGATTACTTAGGTCTTTAAAAGAAATTACCAAAAAAAGCCTCTTGGTTATTCTTTGTTCAGCAGAAGTCGGAAGTGTTTATAATTAGGAACAGTAAATACTTGAGCATGACTACTTTCAAATACTTATATTTTATGTTGATGCTTACAATTCGAATAATGTATGTGTCAGATGTTCTAACTCATACTAGATGCAATAGTTAAAAAATTAGGTCAGTACAAATGACCTATATACTTAAAGGATCGATAATATGATTAATAACTAAGAAGAATCAATTTCTGTTTAAATGATAGACTTGTATTGTTATTTCTCTGATGACATGCTACATTACAAACCACTATCTCCTTCCTACGTGCTTTGAAAATATAAAGTCCTAATATGCACAGAAACTGTTCAGCCAGGAAGAACTTAATATTTTCACTTCATATTGAAGTCTTCACTTTGCAGTTTATTCTGACTGACTCTTTACCCAGACACAGTGTGAGCAGGTTAGATCATTTCATTATCTCCAAAATGATTTTGTTCTATTCCCTTTGCGTGTGTACGTACATGAAGTTGACACAGCCCGTCCCTGCAGGCGGAGCAATCCAAACAAAACTGAGGTTTGTAGTCGGGAGATGGCTCACGTGGGATGCAACCACACTGCACATAAACTGGTTTCCAAACTGGTGGTCAGACATAATTCCTAGGAGAAAGACACAGGGGAGAAAAACAGTAACGTGTTAATGGCTCATTGCAAGGTGCTAACAGACCGAGAAATACATCTGCCATGTGTTTCATCATGGCAACAGTGAGTGGAAAAAAATCCGAGAGTGTGCCATTGAGTAATTAGAATTAATGCCAATCAAAATATTGGAGCTGGCCTTTGCTTGAGCCAAAACTGACTTTGCATTTACTGCAAGGATCCATGTATTTAGTGCTATTATTCTTCATGAGGCCAATACCAGAGGAATTATTTACATTTTTCAAGGAGGAGCTGAATCACAATGTTATTCCATTATCTCATTCACAACCATTACAGATCTAAAAGAAAATAAAACCTGAAGCAAAAAAAATTGCTCTTTAACTAAGAAAAATGAAGCTTTTAGAGAAAGGTATTATCTTTTTGTAAACAGTTTTTTCTATTTGCAAAAAACAGATGAACTCTGGGTTCATGAAATCTTCTGATCTGAAATAAAAGCAGCAGCCTTCCACAGTTTTACCAGTATACAACTCTTTGATTTCTTTTTTTTTTGAAACATGCCTGTAATACATGGATGAATGTAAATGTCATCTATTAATCCCTCCCTTTGGAATTCACTGCAGTTCATCATTAGACAAAAACCTGTATTTTTTGACATAAAACAATATCTGACAGCAATCTTGTCCCCCTTGGAGCCATTCTGTAGTTTCCTACAAAGCAGTGCAAACTTGGTTGTTTGTTTGACACCCTCTGGCTTAAAGTAAGGCAATCTTACTGCAGTGGATCACTACACCTTTAATCCTGGGCCATGAAAGAGTAATTGTTGAAACTATTCTTTTAAATGCTATTATCAGAAGGGAATGCCTTGTTCCAAGTTACTTCAAATATTGAACATTCATTGCAGAAAACAGTGACATGGGCTAGAACATTGCTAATAGGATCAAGAGGAAAAGCAAATGGTTGCAGGTGTGTCCGTGCTCAACAAGGTCACTGTCAGCTGTTAGGTGATTGTGTTTCAAAGTTTATAGTGGTTGGTATTTCTCATATTCCCTTGTTGCAATTCGAGCAACAGAGAAATAAAACCCACCTCCACCTCTCAGAATCCTCTGCTACTGTTTTTGATGGCAATTCTTCTGTAATGGGAATGCAACAATTTATCTTAAGCCCTTACAGATCCAGAGGTGGAAGGAGTTTGCAAGTGAGAGATCTACATCAAGGAGGGGGATGAATCCTTCCTAATGCAAATGTGGCTCCACCTGCTGCTCCCCAAGGACTGCCATGCCAGCAGCACATTGCAGGGAGGGGTGCCTGTATCACAAATAAACCATTTCACATTTTATGGACCAGAAGCAACACCTGAAATCCCATTCAGGTACTGGTGAGGATCACAGACTATAGCTCAGGATTACAGATGCTACCTATCCTGAGGGCTATGAAATTCTAAACCAGCTTCAATCTTTTGAGGAGAGAAATGAGCCACAGTGAATTTAAGTAATCCATCCCAGGAATGACAGGAGGCAGCAGGTGATGGTAATGAAGCCTGCATGTTTTTCAAAAAATAAAAAATCACAACCTCTCGCTCAGGGTTTTTTAGTTGGTTCCCCACTGAGAATACACATGAGATTTTCTGTCATTCACACAGTTACAGTTCAAATCCCCAGTGATGCTTAAGCCCATTGCCTCAGGATGGTCACAGAGAAGGCTCAGGCTCCCCTGAGTGGAGCCTCTTTTCTGGAGATCAGTAGTAGGGAAACCCAGGAATATGGTATTTTACAGACTGTTCTTTATTGGAAGAGACTAGATGCAGATGAGCTTTGGCCATCTCTTGCCATGCTGTACTGCTATTTTGAGTCTTTGCCTTTCTTGGCTAACTGGGAGGGCTGGAATTAACATCCTCAAAGACACCCACTTGACTGCTGGGCCCAGGCTCACTGCCCCACTCTCTGTGCTCAAGTCTATCCAGCAGTGCCCTGCTGAGACAGATGTGTCCAAAAATATGCCAAGAGAGATCCCTCACAGGGTAGGTGCTATTTAAGCAACTGCTTTGCTTTGCTGAGGGTGAAAGGTGGTAGCTGTGCTTCTTTCCCAAAATTGTGGGTCTTGTCCCTCTCTCTGAAGTTTGTGCTAAAGCCAGTGACTGCAGTGATGTGGGTTGGTGTCTCTGGGACTGATGCAGAGCACCAGCCCTTGCCTGTCATCATCCCTGTTTGTACAATGGGAAACAGCCAGACTTTACCAGGTTAATTAAATAACAGATGGTGTCAGGGGAGAAGCAAGAACAGCCCTTCAGTTTGAAGAAATCCCCCTTTCTCCAGAGCCAGCCAAATACAAGGGAGGACAAAGACTGCCCTACCACATCCCCCAGCCGGGGGACAGGCACACCAGCTTGGGAAATGTGACTGCTCCACTGCTTGGCAGCAACTTGTGAGTTAATGAATTCCCTAGGTTTCAGGCAGTGTACTGCAAAAATGTGTCTAATACATCAAACACGTACAACATCTGTGGAGAATTTCTTTTTCCCTTGATTTACATTTTAGAAAAAGAACAACTTTGCAGTGACTAGAATAAATTCTAAACAATGAAAAAACCCAACTCATTCAAATATTTTTCAGGAAAAAAAGTCAATACAAGCACAGCAATTATTCAAAATGCCAATTCTATAATTCTATCACCATTATCTTGATATTTTATTAATAATTTGTTGTCATAATTTTTACAATGAAAACAACACTGCTCATCTGCTGAGCCTTTCCTGAGTACATCAGCTCTATTTAGGGGTTCAGAGTCTTCAGATTGTTTAACTACAATTAAGTACTAAAACTTCATTCAGTGAGTGACAATGATATTATAAAAATTTTTTTATGCTTAAATCCCAAGGTTTCCTATTGAAAAGGTGAATATAAAAATTGTAAAAATGCAAAAAATGGAGAATGCAATTGATATTAAGAACTCACTAAATTAAGGATAAAGAAGGTTATTTTCCCCTTTTCCTTCCAGTCTTTTTGCAGTCCCTTACTATGGAAGGCAACTCCTCCCTTCTCCTCCATCCCCTCTCCAACCTGGTAAGCTGCTTCTCAGATTAAATATTTGCCCCATAACAAATCAAAGGACAAATGTGAAACAACATTCTGCTGCAAAAAATTTAAATTAATACAAAACAAGCCCGATTATATAGCAGCTCTCAGAACAAAACTATATTCTGCATGTACCTCAGACAGCTTCAAAGACAGACTGAGCCTTTGTTTAAGGTCCTTGGCTCAGGTCAGTATTGTTCTGTCTGTATCCTGCTCACATCCTGGTGACCAGTGCAACTATACATCCAAGTCTAGTGTTTACAAAACTAATAATCCTAAGGTAAAATTTTAAGATCTGCCTGTATAAAACTCCGTGAACTCTTTAGCAAATGATCGTTTCCATGCAACTTATTGAATACTGAAATATTCAAAGGTTTGTGAGAGCTACACATCCACAGCTCTAAAATGTGCTACATGCATAGAAGCTGTTAGCATCTCTCTGAACTCCTTTTCCCTTGGTTTTTACAGCATGTGCTCATCATAATGACATGTTTCAGACATCTGCACTTTCTAGATTCTCCATCCCCTAAAATTTCTGAGGCTTTAGGAGTTTCAGTATAATCCGTATAACCATTATAACCATTCAAATCCCAAACAAGCTTTCTACCTGCCAACAGCACTGCTAGGAGAGGAACTAGACATACTCAGTCTCTCTCAAGGGGACTCAGCAGCTGTTTTTATTGTGTAAACTCTAAAAAAATGTGCTTAGCTCTATTCAATGCACTATGTATAGTCACTGAATCAAAGAACTGAAGAGGTAGATTTCAAGAGAGAGAATAAACCCAGGGATAGAGAAAAATTATTGAATGGGAAATCTTAGGCAAAGTCAGATGACAAATACATAGCTTCAATCTTTACATGTTAAAATACTTTTTACTGATAATCAGAATCACTCGTAGGGGTGTAGCAGCTAATGCAGGGAAATATTTTGCCTCTTTTATAAGGTGGCATACAGGAAGGTGAGCAAGATGTAAAATGCTGTGTTAGGTGGTCCATAAATAGTCAAATGCAAGTGTGGTTCCAGAACTCATTACTACTTTCACCTTGTTACACAGATTCTCCAAAAGGGAGAACTATAGAGGATAGGAACTACTCTCCCATTTAGGCCCCTGGAAGCCAAAAGATGATCTTTTCTACTGGTAGAGCTTGGAAAGCATCTAATGGTGCAGATAAATGCGGAAAGATTCACATAATTTTCTGCTTTTTGAGTCTGAGAAATATGTATCTGTGATAGCCCTGACTTACACGCAATAACAACATAATGTTTGGTATTACAACATGACATATCCTCTTTACAGTTTTCTAAACCAGAGCTTTACATAGGGAGCTGCATATCAAGGTCCTTGATAAATCCTTCACTGAGGCTAAGGCTCAACAGAATTTCCAGTACTAAACCAGATGAAAGGTAGTCTACCATTTCCTATTTCTTACATGAATTATGATATTAAAAGAGAGGGTTAATGTTAAATACAGGTATGAAATGAATGACCACATTTTGGTTTTGCTGCCTCTAAACTGATTATCTGCTACATGTTTCCATTTTCAAAGCTATGTGTGACAGCAAAATGACAAACATAAAATATTGATGAAATACCAAGAACATAAAGCCCTAAGTAACAAAATCACTCTGGCTCTTTGGGAAAGAAATCACTCCTGATTAGTAGATAACAAATTTAAGTCAGAAACAGACACTTTCAAATTAGATTTTGCATTATGTAAAAATGAAGTACCTAGTCCTAGGAAGAATCTTTTCCCTTAGGAAACAGAGCTGGGGACCTACATTCTCCATCCAGGCTGTAGCATTTTGAAGGGTGATCCACAAATCCACAAGCTAAGCACAGTTCTGGTATTACAAAGCAGGGAGTGACACAAACAGGACTGTGTCCAAAGACACCTCCCATGCTGAATCCCGTGCTGAAGTGGCCAAAC